GGACTCACCTGGGAATGACCCTGACAACCACCATCTGGCACTACTTAGGGTTTTCATCTGTTACCTGGCATATATACAGTAGCCCCATTTTATAGACCAGGAAACAGCTCAGAGATAAGAATTAAGGGCTCAAAGCTCCCCAAAAAGCAGGGCCTGGTTTCCACTGCAGGTCTACCTGAATCCAATGGCCAAGTCCTTCAAATACACTAAGTAAATAATTCAAATGAATCTACTGACAGCAGATATTGACTCCACTCCCCATGGGGAACTTTGCCTCTGCACCAGTACACTCTAGACCTGTAAGGCCTTGGTAGTTGGCCTGGAAAACGTCTACCTGTCTTGAACCTCAGGATAGGTTCAATGTCTCCACTCCCCAGTGTGCCCCCTGACACCCACGTATCTGCAGCCACAGCCTGTGTAGGAGGTGTCTGTGATTGCTGAGCTAAATCATGGGGAGGAGTGATCCATTTCCATGTCCAGCTCACCAGCTAGGGCAACATGGTGAGGGCCACGACTGGGTCTAATTCACCAGCATCCAGCCTGCCCCATACACTGTTCTCAGCAGAGGTCTGTGACCTAGAGGGATAGCTGCTTGTCCTAGAGCCTCTCTCAGCTGGTGGCTCCTCCAGAGTGAGGAAGAAGTCCTGCAGGGCCTGAAGCCCCAGCTGCTAATTGAGAAAGGTTCTCTTCCTCTCCCTTTCCCTTTGCATCTTAACTATTAAGTCATTGGGAAAGTCATGGCATATAGTTCTATGTAAAAATGTGTCATAACTTTCCCAATGACCCAATAGCTCTGCAAAGTCCAGCAGAACTTCAAGCAATAACTATCTTTAAAGGAGGTTACAGTCCAAAGACTGGAAAGGCCCATCAACTTCCTCATATTGTGGCACCTCGTTTTCACTTGGAGTCTTCATTCCTCCAGCAGCAGCCACTCAACAAGCCACAGACTGGAAGATGGGGAGGGTGGAGGAGGAAAGGCACAGAATCCTGGCCCACTCATTCTAGCAAAGTTGGAAAACAAAGAGGAGAAAGGAAGTCCGATCAGGAGGCACCCAGCTGCACTAAAGGAGCTTCAGGAAATGTGGATGCAGCCTCTTCTATCTCGAAGATGCACAAGAGCTGCTTTAACAACAACATTGTTAACATTGGTTAACAATGTTAACAACAACAGCTAACATTGGTCAGAACTAAAAGCTGGCAGGGGCATGCCCAGACTGGGGCGGTGGGAGCTGCCCCTAGTGCAGACACATAGGAATGGGTTGTCTATAGAGAATCTAAAAACAATCATAAAACCCACCAAAAGTTAGTCTGCTGGGACCAGCAGATGGTGTAATGGTTACGTTGCTGGACTCCCATGTAGTCAACTACAGTTTGAGTCCAGGACCCAGGGGCTTAAAACTCACACTGGGCATGTGTGCATGCATGCGTGCCCAAAATCCCAAAAGGAGAATAGAGAAGAAGGGATTGCGGTGTGGCCATCCCCCTGGTGGGTGATTTCTCGCTTTCTGTCTCTTTCTTTTTCTGTCTCTCTGGCGAACGCAGGTGCCCTACAGCAAAAATCTCTCTAAAAAAAGAAAAGAAAAGAAAAAGAAGTCTGCTTTTTATTACCACGTGACTGCCATTTCACCCACTGACAGTAATAAAATAAAGATGCTCTTCTACTTACAAGGGGGCTAGTTCTGGGTAAACCCATCAAAAATAGAAAAGATTGCAAGTTGAAATGCATCTAATATACAGTTAGCCTACCGAACATCATAGCTGAGACTAGCTTACTTATACGTGCTCCGAACACTTCCATTAGCCTACATTGGGCAAAATCATCTAATCCAACATCCAGTGTCAAATAGCTCATGTAATTTATTGAATACTATACTGAAAGTGAAAAACAAAATGGTTGTATGGGTCCTCCAACTATGATTTCTACTGAACACATAGTGCTTTTGTACCATGGGAAAGTTGAAAAATTCTAAGTCAAACCATTGTTAAGCTGGGACTGGCTATACTACTTTCCCAAAAGCTAGTTCACTGGTCTAAGTTATCATTGCTGCAATTATTATTGAGATTTAATAATATATAGGTTAGCCTCCAATTAGCACAATTTTATCTATAATAAAAGCTTTTCCTTCTCTATGGAGATTAATCCAGTTACACAGCCCCAAAAACACACAGACGCAGTTTCAGTAGTCAGTTCCTAATGACTCAGAGTGGTTCAAGCTCACTTTTCACACAGTTCATGTTGCCAATCCCTTCGGTCCTACATTTTCTTGTGTTTAAAGAGAAGAGGAAACAGTCTGTTCTGCCCATGCCAGAAGGAACTGAAAGAGTGGCATTCTAAAGCTTGAGTCATTTCTACCAGCTGGACTCTTGTCCTAAAGCAATGTGAAATAAATGTCAGTGTTCCCTAGCACTCAACTATGTTCCCTGATGTTGGCAGAAGAAACACTTGGGGGATTTTGCAAAATAAAATTAAAAATCTATAGTAAATTTTCTGGTGAATATGTTTTAGTGAAAATGTTTCAAATGTGGAGATATTTAAAAGCCACTAGAACGGACTTTTTAAAAGAATGGGCAGGGGACCAGCAGATGGCATAAGGGTTATATCGCTAGATTCCCACATGGCCGACTGCAGTGCAAGTCCTGGACCTGGCGCTTGAAACTCTCACCAGGTATGTGTGTGTGTGTGTGCGTGCGTGCCCAAAATCCCAAGAGGAGAATGGAGAAGAAGGGATTGCAGTATGGCCCACACCCCAGGGGGTCATTTCTCATTTTCTGTCTCTGTCTCTCTGGCGAGTGCACACACAAAAACCTGTAGCAAAAATCTCTCTCAAAAAAAAAATTGAGACAGTATTGTAATGTCTGTAACTTAATATGAAATGGAATGTTTATAGGTCTTCATGAAACAAATTCTAGTCCTTAAGGTATTTTCTAACTATTCATATCTCCATTGTTTCGTGTGAAAGTAATTTTCAAAATAGAAATTAATAAAAAGTGTGGGGCAGCAGGTGGCATGGTGGCTGGGGTGCCGGACTCCCACAGGGCCGACTACAGTTTGAGTCCTGGACCTGGTGGCTTGCTTTCTCACTTTCTTTCTCTGTGTGTGTGTGTGTCTCTCTCTGGTGAGAAATGTACCCTTTAACAAATTTAAAAATAATAATATGTGTTCTAGGATCACTTTGTGAGCAAAGATACATCGACAAATCTAGTTCTACTGAATATTTAACATAAATATGCAAAGAAGATCAATTTTGACAGTCAAAGACAACTTTCCAAAACAGAAGCCATAATGTTATTATTACTCATTTGTTTTTTGGGGGTTTTTGTTTGTTTGTTTGTTTGTTTGTTTTATTTTGTTTTTGAGAGAGAGAGTTTTGCTATAGGGCGCATGTGCTCGCCAGAGAGAGAAAGAGAAACAGAGAGACACCCCGCCCCAGGAGGATGCCATGCCACAATCCCTTCTCCTTCATTCTCTTCTTTGGACTCTGGGCACACACACACACATGCCCAGAGTGAGATTTTCTTTTTCTTTTTTTAAAAGAATTTTTATTTAATTTTATTTATTCATTCATTTATTTTAATTTAACCAGAGAGAGAGGCAAAGTGAGAAAGCAAACCACCAGGTCTAGGATGCAAATTGTGGTCAGCCATGAGGGAGTGTCCAGCACCTTGCCACCTGCTGGTCCCCCCTCCCTACTTCTTCTCTCCTCCCTCTTCTGTCGCCTCCCACACTGGCGAGAGTTTTAAGTCACCAGGTCCAGGACTCAAACCGCAGTCGACTATGTGAGAGTCTAGCCACATATTATGCCATCTGCTGGTCCCTTGTTTTCCAGTTCTTTATGTTTTTACTAGCACAAATACACATATAAAGTTCAATAAAAGAAAATGTTCACCCTTTGTGTTTCTTTTCTGGATATGATAACTATGCATTTCATGATTACTGATGAAAATAATGTTAAGAGAAGATGGTTATTAAAAAGTGACCACTCTGTATATCAAATATACCAGGTGTGCCATGATTCCAGACACTTTGTAAAGCTCTCCAATGGTTGAAATAATAATAACAACAATAACCCTGGTGAACTATGGTTGAGCCCTCAATATGCACACCAAACACTATTCTGAGCACTTCCTAAGTGTTACTGATACAGTCTTCGCTCCAGGGAACAGAGGGGATTTGAACTCCAGCGAAGGCTCACGGCTGGTGCAGTGGGAGGGCACACAATCCCAGGTAGGTCTACCTCAATAACCAGTACTCTGATGAACTTCTCTGCTAATGGCCTGCCACGTTGACGGATGGCATCGGCCAAAACGCTATAATTTCAGAGCCACACACACATCACGGTTTCAAAAAAGGAAAAGAGAGGCCAGCTGGCGGCGCAGCAGCAACCCAGAGCACATAGGACACAGGTGAGCCCGTGATCCTGCTGTCTGAGACTGGGTGTGAAAACGCTATTGTGGCCTTCACTTTGTCTCTCGACCTTGTGCAAGAAATAAACTTTTTAAAAAGGAAGGAAGGGAGAGAAAGAGGGAGGGAGAGAGAGAAAGAGAAAGGAAGGAGGAAAGGAAAAGCGAAAGCTGGGAGTTTGCTGGCAAGGCAGGGTCTTAAGGTAAGTCATCTGACACCAGAGAAGGCCCCCGCGGGTCATGACGGCTGGTCCAGCCTCAGACACCGCCCCAGGAATCTGCCCCAGTGTCCAGGTTCGGCTCCGAAGAGCAGCACCAGATCTTTGCGGAGAGGCCTCGCCCCTTGCTGCCTGGCCAGCTGCTGGGCCTGCCTTCTGCTGGGTCTGTTTCCGGCAGGACGAGTCCAAGCAGCCCACGCCAGGATGAGTACTGAGACAACTCCAACAGGTGGCCCCTGACCCCTGTCTGACACTTGATGCCCGCAGCTCATGGAGGCTGGGTCACCACATCCTCAGGAGCCTCTCTCCAAAGTAATACCGCAGGCTCCAGGGCAAGAAGGCACCCTCGAAACACGACACCCCGCCCCGCCCCACACTTACAATGGGTGCGCGCATCTTCTCTCCTGAAGTGGACCCTCAATGTCAGGCTCGATTTCGCTTTATCAGCTGCGTAAATGCCTGAGGGCGGGATGAGAAGCGGGATTCATTATGTTAGCACCGGGAAATAGGGTCCCCAAGACCCCAGGGGCCAATAGCTTATGCAAGAGAGACCGTGCGAGGTTTGTCTCTGCCAGCTCCAGTCCCCTAGGAACAACCAGCTCAGCGCCTACGACCTTCTCGGCGGCCCGCTCCCCGCCCTGCTTGCTCTTGAACGGGCGAAGCCCTCGCGGGGAACACAGATGGCTCACCCGATTCCTGAGCGGGCCACAGCGCAGGGGCGGGCGAGCTGGCTCAGAGTCAGCTCCCGGGTGCGCGGCGCGCAGGAAAGTCCGCGCGCGATGGGAACCGAAGCGCCCGGCTCGCCGGGTTCTTCTTCTAGTCCCCGTTGCGCCCAGGAGGCCGCAGCTGCTCGTCTAACTTGTTTACTCCCGCCCCACCCAACTTCTGCATCTCCCAGGCAGCCGTCGGGCACCGGAACACGAAACCAAGGAACTTGCCCTGCCGTACTTTGGAAGAAAGAACCGCTCCCCC